GAGCGCGGGTGAGGGTCCTGCAGGAGCAGATGCCCCCAGGGCCGCAGGTAGCCCCGGAGCGCGGGTGAGGGCAGGACTGCTCCTTCACTCTGTAACCTGTGCTGTTTGTGTTGTAGAGTTTGAAGAAGCCAGGAAGTGGGTGTCACAGAAGTTACAGTTCCAGAAAGACGTGGATGTTAACCTGTTTGAGAGCACGATCCGGATCCTGGGGGCGCTGCTGAGCACTTACCATCTGACAGGGGACAGCCTCTTCCTGGAGAAAGCCGTGAGTGCCTGACGCCAGGGCTGCCGTTTCTCACAGTGATCTCTGTGACGTGAGGGCGTTTGGGGGAGGGTGCTTCTTTTCCCTGTTTTCTCTCTGACGATCCATCTGAATGTCTCTATTCAAGACATGCGTGTCTCATGCGGCACACTTATTGCCACTAAAACCCGTGGTCACAAGTCACTCAATCTGATTGACTCCAGCTTGTTTTGCTGCAGTTGAGTTCTAGGGCAGTGTGGCGTTGGGGAGCCACCAGCACCTTTCCCTCCCCTCAATGGAATGGAGCGGGTGACCCATTAGAATGATGAAATGTGAACAAGGCCTCACTCCGACCTGAACAATGGATTCTCTGCTCTCCTTCTCCATCAGAAAGATTTTGGAAATCGGCTGTTGCCTGCATTCAAGACTCCCTCCAAGATTCCTTTCTCCGATGTGAACATTGGCACTGGCATTGCCCACCCTCCCCGGTGGACCTCAGACAGCACGGTGGCTGAAGTGACCAGCATTCAGCTGGAGTTCCGGGAGCTCTCCCGTCTCACAGGAAATGAGAAATTCCAGGTACAGTGGCGGGGGGCGGGGGCAGGGGGGGCAGGCAGTTGGAAGTTTCTCACTGGAGTTCACCTCTGCTCATTACAGCAACTTCAGGGATGCACATCCTGGGCTGGGTAGTCATCCAGGTGATAAGCAGAAGTGGCTTGAGTGTGCTACAAATTCCTGTGGTCACCTGGGGGTCTGCCCATCCGCCTGGCTGTGTCCTGGTGGAGGCGCGAGCCACCCGTGACCTGGTGGGTTCTTTTTACCTTGTGGCTCTTACGAAAAGTGTTGCAGTGAACATTAGTGTACAAGTTTCTTTCTGTTTGCATTCCTGCCCTCGCTTCTTCTGGATACATACTCAGGATGGGGATCGCTGGGTCACGTGGTAGTTCTGTGTTCAGATTTTTGAGGAACCACCACACTGTTTCCACAGTGGCTGCACCATTTACATTCCCACAAGCAATGGGTGAGGGTTCCAGTTTCTCCACAGTCTTGCCAACACCTGTTGTTTTCCCTTTATGAATGGGGGTGAAGTGGTATCTCCTTGTGGTTTTGACTTGCATCTCCTTGATGGTAATGACGTTGAGCATCTTTCCATGTGCTGGTTGGCCACGGCTTTGTTCCTTGTTATGGCTGCGTAATATTCCGTTGCGTGGGTAGACCACACTGGGTTTATGCATTCTCTAGTCGGTGGACATTCAGGTAGTTTCCAATTTTGGGCTGTTTTGAATAGTGCTGCTATGAAAATTCATGAACACATTTTTGAGTGAACGTACGTTTCGTGTATCATGGGTACATGCCTAGGAGTAGAATTGCTGGGTCGTGTGGAAACTCTCTGTAACTGTTGGAGGAACTTCTAGACTTCAAAAGTGGCTGCACCATTTTACGCTTCATTAGCAGTGTAAGAGGATTCTGATTTCTCTGCGTCCTTACCGGTTCGTTTATCATAGTCACCTGGGGGTTTGAAGCAGTATCTTATTATAGTTTGGTTTACATTTCCCTGATGACTAACGGTGAGCATTTTTTGATGTGCTCATTGGCCGTTTTGGAGCCCCGGTGGTGCACGTGCTAACCTAAAAGGTCAGCAGTTCAAACCCACCAGCTGCTCCTTGGAAACCCTATGGGGCGGTTCTCCTCTGTCCACAGGGTCACTATGAGTCGGAATCAAATTGACGGAGACAGGTTTGGTTTTTTTTTTTTTTAATTGGCCATTTGTATATCCTTTGAAGAAGTGTCATTTCAAATCTTTCGCCCATTTATTGGGTTTGTCCTTTTATTGTTGAATTCTAAGAGTTGTTTATATATTCTGGAAACTAGAGCCTTATCAGATATATAATTTGCCAATATTTTTTCTGTTCTGAGGATTGTCTGTTTATTTCTTTGTCTTTCAAAGCACAATTTTTTTTCAGTTTATTTTGTTTTTGTTGTTGAGAATACAGACAGCAGAATATACACTAGTTCAACAATTTCTACACGTATAATTTAGTGACATAGCAAAGCACAGTATTTTTTAATTTCTACTTTATTTTTCTACTTGATGTCTATTTTTCCTTTGGTGGCTTGTGCTTTTGCTGTCATATTTAAGAAACCATTGCCTCATCTAAGGTCATGAAGATTTATACCTGTATTTTCTTATAAGAGTTTTACACTTTTAACTCTCCGGTTAGGTCTTGGGTCCAATTTTTCTTTTTTATTGTGAAAATATATGTAATAAAACAGACATCAATTCAACAATTTCTACATGTAAAATTCGCTAACAGTGATTACAGTCCTCAAGTTTTACAGCCATTCTCACTATCGTTTTCCAAATTATTTCGCGATCGTTAACATAAACTTAATGCCCCCTAAGCAAAACTCTCTTTCCTTCCCCCTCCCACCCCCAGTGACCCCTAATAACCTTTGGTTTCTGCATATTTGTCTGTTCATGTAAGTGAGATCATACAGTATTTGTTCTTCTGTGACTGACTGACTGCACTCAGCAGTTGGGGCCATTTTGAATTAATTTTTGTATGTGGTGTGAGGTAGGGGTCCAACTTCATTCTTTTGCATGTGGATGGCTATCCAGTTGTCCCAGCACCATTTGTTTGTTGAAAGACTATTCTTTCCCCATTGGATGGGCTTGGCACCTGTGTGGAAAATCAATTGACTTAAAAAAAATCCTATTGCCGTCAAGTAAATTCTGACTCATAGTGACCCTACAGGACAGAGTAGAACTGCCTCATAGGGTTTCCAAGGAGTGGCTGGTGGATTCGAACTGCTGACCTTTCAGTCAGCAGCCATGGCTCTCAACCACTGGGCTACCAGGGTTCCTAATTGACCATAGATGCACTAATTTATTTCTGTACTTTCAATTCTGTTGTATTGATCTACCTTATTTTTGCACAAGTAACACACGAGTTACATGTTTGTTTGCCAACCGTGCAACCCCCTTGTGTGTTATTTTCCTAAGCGTGCTGTGCGTGTTACATGTGTGGGCGCATTATTTGCCAAAAATACAGTATATGTTTGTCCTTGTGCCAGTACCGCACTGTCTTGATTACTGTTGCTTTGCAGTAAGATTTGAAGTCAGGAAGTATGAGTCTTCCAACCTTGGTCTTTTTCAAGATTATTTCTACTATTCTGGGTTCCTTGTGTTTCCGTATGAAGTTTAGGATCAGCTTGTCAAGTTTTGCAAAAAAGTAAGCTGGACTTCTCATGGGGATTGCGTTGATCCTGTAGCTGGCTTTGGGGAGTATTGTCATTTTAACAGCATTAAGTGTTCCAATCCATGAATGTGGAAGTTCTCTCCATTTATGTAGGCCTTCCTTAATTTTTCTCAGTGTTTTGCAGTTCTCGTTGTACAAGTCTTGGCGTTTCTTGTTAAATGTACTCGTAAGTACTTCATTGCTTTTGATTCTATTGTAAAATGAGGAATCGTTTACTTAATCTCATTTTTGAGTTATTCATTGCTTGTGTGCAGAAGAGTAACTGATTTTTGTATGTTGACCTCGTATTCTGCAACCTTGCAGGCCTTGTTTGTCAGCTCTAATGGTTTTTCATGGGTTTCTGCAGGATTAGAGTTAGGGCAGATCTGGGGGTTCATGTGGCCTCCAGAGGGTGAACACGCAGCCGTCCACGTGGGCCGTGCAGACACAGCCTTTTGTAAGCTGCTTACCCAGCATCTTCTGGTTATTGGGGTCTTGTTAGATTCTGAGGTACAGAAGGATAAAAGGCCGTGCCCTTGTTTCTTATACATGTTGGGTGGGGTAGGGGACCAGGAATCCCTCACCACGCAGTGTTCTAAGTGCTGGGAAACAACACGTGTGCACCTTGCCAGGGGGGCCGGGGGCAGGGAAGGTCCCTGAGGCCAGAGATGACAGACAGGCTGAGGATGGCCTGGTCCTGAAGGATGGGCAGAGCCACGTGCTGGGCGGAGGCAGGCCTTGGAGCGCATAGTGTGTGTGCTGTCCACCTGGGGCGCCACAGGGGCGGCTGTATTGGCATGTTATGGTGAGGACCCCCATGCCTACAAGCCCCCATCCCCACTAGCAGGGCCTGGAGTGCTGGGAGCAGATGGACCCAGGGGGACAGGGACGGGCAGCGTCACCCGGCTGTCCAGGGCAGCAGCAGCTGAGCTGTGTCCCTGGGACGTGGGGCCATCTGACACCCAGCGGGGCAGATGGGCACAAGCAATGCTTGGGGTTCCTCCCTCCTCTGGGAGTAAATCAGTTCTGGAGAGGGGGCCCGGCTAGCCCAGAGCTCCGCAGCCCCCACACCCCCACCGTCATGCAGGAGGCCGTGGTGGAGGTGACGCGGCGTGTCCACTCGCTGTCCGGGAAGAAGGATGGACTGGTGCCCATGTTCATCAACACCCACAGCGGCCACTTCACGCACCTGGGAGTGTACACACTGGGCGCCAGGGCGGACAGCTACTACGAGTACCTGCTGAAACAGTGGATCCAGGGAGGAAAGAAGGAGACGCAGTGAGGCTCTCCCCTGCCTGATGCGGGGTCCATGGGCGCCTGGTCCCCAGTCCTTTGTCAGGAGGAAGCTGCTGGGCCGGGCCCAGTCTTGGCCTCTCTGAACAAATGTTTCCGTTTCATCCCAGACTTCCACAGAGGAGGGGGCTGCCCCCGCCCCTGGGGTCCCACCGAGCTGCTGGGGCCATGCACTTGTCAGGAGGTTGAGGAGGAGCGGGCTCCTGCACACGGGCCCTGCAGGCTCTTAACACACTGAAATGGGGCGTCCCCACCCTTATGTCCTGAGGTTTACAGGACACGTTTTCCCCCATGCACAGTGTAATTGCTCAGAATTCAGTTTGGAAAATACAGATTAGCTCTTGTAAGGGAACTTCTGTCCTTGAAGTCTCAGACCTGGGGACGGCCACTGCTGCCCCTCGTGGACATCTGGGGTGGCCCAGGGGCCCGGCTAAGTTGCTTCAGCTCAAGGCCTCAGGATGGTTCGTGGGCGACCACACCCCGACACGGCTATAGCCAACACCCTGTGTTGGTGACAGTGTGGCCGTCATGGGTCTGTGGAGCCTGATTTCCCCAGGATGGAGGTGTCCAGGGGCCGTGGTTAGGAGACGGGTCCTCTGGGCTCAGGACAGCAGTTTTTGAGGCCAAGGCAACCATCAGGACTGATTGTGACTAAGGGCCCCAGTCAGAGGAACAGGAGGCACTGCCCCCAGGCCCCCCCTTTCTGCGAGGCCTACCCGCCAGGGACAGGGCACTTGCTGCCTGTGAGTCTCGGATTACAGCTGAGCCTGTTCCTGAGGGACTAGGGTGGGGGTGGGGGTCCTGGGCCTCAGTGTGTCTCAGGGAGACCTAGCACAGTGCTCGTCCACAGGCTGCTGGAGGACTATGTGGAGGCCATCGAGGGCGTGAAGACGCACCTGCTGCGGAGCTCTGAGCCCAGCAAGCTCACCTTCGTCGGGGAGCTGGCCCATGGCCGCTTCAGTGCCAAGATGGTGAGTGCTGACCTGAGGTCTGGGCTCGAGGATGCTGCTACTTCCTGTCTGGGGGGGACTGGCTGCTCCCTATCCTGATGCTGGGAGAAGGGGTGGTGTGTGGGCTGGAATCAGAGATGGATGTATGCTGCTTGAGTGGGGCCGTCCTTGTCGTCAGGCCTGGGCCTGAGGTAGAGAGTGGGGCCAGCACTCTTGCTGCCGCAGCTCTGCGCCTTCACTCCCTCGCTCCCTCAACTGGCAGTGGTGAGGGACCCTCTGGTTTCCAGGACCACCTGGTGTGCTTCCTGCCGGGGACTCTGGCTCTGGGGGCCCACCATGGGCTGCCGGCCGAGCACATGGACCTGGCCAAGGCGCTGATGGAGACCTGCTACCAGATGAACCGCCAGATGAAGACGGGGCTGAGTCCGGAGATCGCCCACTTCAACATGGTCCCCCAGGAGGGCCACCAGGACGTGGAGGTCAAGGTGAGTGCTGGCGGGCCTGGGGGTGGCCTGCGGGCCAGTGCCCTTGCTGAGGCCGCGCTTCTCTGCAGCCGGCGGACAGACACAACCTGCTGCGGCCGGAGACGGTGGAGAGCCTGTTCTACCTGCACCGCTGCACCGGGGACAGCAAGTACCGGGACTGGGGCTGGGAGATCCTGCAGAGCTTCAACACCTACACGCGGGTGAGCCCTGCGCTGCCTGTCCTCGGCCGTCCCTGTCACCTGGCAAAGGGGATGGCTGAGACATGGAGCACTCCTCCACTTACGGGGTGGTGCACACTCATGGGGTGGTGAATGCTCACGGGAATGGACACTCACAGGGCAGTGGACATTCACAGGGGAATGGATGCTCATGGGGGGTGCACGCTCACTGGGGTAGATGCTCATGGGGGGTGCACACTCACGGGTGGATGGTCACTGGGGTGGATGCTCATGGGGGTGCACACTCAC